GCAGTAGCAGTAGGAGTAGGAGCAGTAGTAGTAGCAGTAGCAGTAGTAGTAGTCGTCGTCGTCGTAGTCGCCCTAGCAGTAGCATTGGCAGTGGTAATGGCAGTGATTGGCAGTGGCAGGAGGAGGAGGAGGAGGTAGATGAAGAGAAGAACAAGTAGTAGCCGTAGCAGTAGCCGTAGCAGTAGCCGCAGCAGTAGCAGTAGCAGTAGTAGGCAGCCGTAGTAGTAAATAATCGTACCATTCGTCGTCGTGGCTGCCGCTGGTGGTTGTGGCGGTTGTGGTACTGGTGGTAGTGGTGGTGGTGGTGCTGGTGGTGGTGGGTGGTGGTGCTGGTGCTGGTTGTGGTTGCGGTGGCGGTGGTGGTGGTGGTAGTAGTAGCAGCCGGAGCAATAACCGGCCTCGCAGGAGTACGAGGAGAAGTTCGCCGAGCACGAGGCGTGATGCAACTCATGTAAGTTTCCTCTTTCTGTATCATCTTGTGAATTGATTAGTCTTCGTGGAAGCGATACTCGATTGAAGGCCGGCTGGGCGAAGCGGGCAGAGGAGCGACATGTTTAGTTTAGCTTGGAAGACAGAATTACAGCCTCATTCGCACCGTAGAAGGCAAGCAAAGTCAGCATTACAGCTGATTGATGGCTCGCAGCTAGCCTGCTTCTGGTGAACCCAGAAATCTGTGCATTGAGCCGTGGAACCTGCCGCAATATTGGGATGTAGGTGACATGGTGTGCTCGCTGGGTTGGCAGTCTCTGGCGATTGCACAAGTCCAGATGCAAAAAGGGGGAGTGCATTGGATGAGTTTGCATGTCGGGAGCATGACTGTCCGAGCGAGAGCACCGGCAGTTTTTTACCAAGGAAAAAGAACGGTGATGGCGGAGAGTGTGAGAGAATAAAACACCACCAAGTCTAGGATCACCACGCGCTAGTGCAGAAGTTGCAGAACGACCTGCGGGAGGTTGGGGGCTCGGGGAGAGATGGCTCGGGCCAGAAGCCGTCCTCGCTTCTTCGTGTTTTCCTTTTACTGAGGTTGTTGAGAGCCAGCTCCACCCGGCCCAGGCGCAAAGCCGTTTGTCAGCGTGTAGAAATCGAACACAGTGGAAACCTCGCCTGGGCACCACTTGGTCCTCGGGCATCTATTGAATTTCAAGGCAAACTGAGGAGGTGGCTCACAGCCAGGCCAAGCCTTTGCCGCGAACTCTGCACCACGTGCCAGCTACTGTAAACTCTTTGGGGCGCCGCTTGGTAGATCCAGGTGCCACTCCATTTCTTTTAAGCCCCTGGCAGTATAAGACATGTCGGAAGCGTTTCCCCAAGAAGTTTGCCTAAAGAGATGGGCCATTTGGGATTATTTGGCATGCTTCGGCCTGGCTACAGCACTGGCTGCGTACAGTTCTAACCTCTTGTAGGCCTTGGGGTTGAGGAGTTCCTGAGGCTGTGGTAGATGCTGCCACTGATTCATTGATGCCGCCTATACTCGACAGAACCCCCTACGATCTGGCTTGCGCCGGCCCACACCCCCAAGCCGGAAGCCCTGCACAAGTTTTGTTTTTTGTTGGTGCAACAATGTCTGGCTGCCGCTCGCCTTTCTTGCTTCTTGGTATTGAATAATTGTGTGGCCCTCAGACGAAGAAGTATTCGAGGCTGGCTGATGCCCCAGTCGAGCGCCTGCTGCATCCTGCTGCTCGAATCTCACATGGCTTGCCGGTGAGTGCCGACTGTTGGAGGTGGCACAGCTGCGTGCTGATCTCAAGCGAGCGCAGCACGAAAGCCAGGCCGGAGCCCTGTGAGCACTTGCCCGGTATTGCTGCTCCTGAGATTAGGGCTTGATTGTTCGTAAATATACGAAGCCTTCCTGGTTCTGTGGGTGTCTGTTTTCATACATCTGTGGTCGTCTGATTAGTGGCGGTTGGTGTTGAAAGTTGCTTCACGTCGCGCTGTCCTCTCCTGTATCCATGCATGCTCGAGCTTTTGCTGCCTGCCGGTGGTGCTGCTGCTGCCAAAAATGTTTGTAAGGTGGGCTTAGGGTTTGTTATGCTATGTTGCCAAAGCTTATTCGATGTTTATCTTCTGCAACCGTGTGTGTGTGTGTGCGCGCGCGTGTGCGTGCGTGTTTGTGTGGGTACACGTCTCTGCATGTGTGTTCGTTTTGCGTTCCTTCACAGTGGGCTCAGCTGTCACAGTTCGGTGGTCACTTGTCTCATGTAGGGAGCCCTGCGGTCAAACTTGGTGCAAGGGGATGTCCTCAAACTTGGCCACAGCAGGCACTCACCAACACGAACAGTATGCTGAAGGATTCCTTGGCGGCGTTGCAGAAGAAGCCTGCGCCCCAGTACAATTCGGTATGAGAGCTTTGCAAAGGACCTTGCATGTCTTGCACAAGCGTTTGTGACCGGCCTAACCTCGCACATAGTGTCGTCGTAAAACTACATTTTCTGGCACTCAGAAAGCCGGAGGCTTTTGCGGGATGGAGCTGCGTGTGTTGACTGCTTGCTGACAGGGTCTTCTCTGTTCGTTGGCTTCGCTTTCGGCTCCTGCTCAGGGCTCCCTGCCATGAGGTTCCATGGGAGGACTGCAAGTAATTATGTAATGCTACGCTTGTTCGAGCCCAAGATGAAGCCGTCTTTGGAGAGATGAGAGTAACCTTCCCTAGCCGCTGTTGACAGCTTGAGAGGTGAGCTAATGGTTTCCCTTGATTTGCCATGGGCACCGCGTGGCGTGGACAGCAAGGTGGAAAGCACATGCCGACCCAGGCAGCGTCAGCGCGTGGTGGTTGGGCCGATGGTGTTCACATCAGACTTTGACAGCGGCCACCGGTTTCGACAAACCAGTGCCACATTGTTTTCTCTTCAATCCTACCTAGAGCAAGGTGACGCTGTGCCACGGGTCGTCGAAATTGAGTTCTGTTTGCCGGCCGAGGCAACATGGGCCATGTGGAACTGCTGGAAGACGCGACGTTTGTTTCGCCCAACTGTCAGCCGACAGCATCGCAGCTGGAGTACGTGATAGATATTGCGCCTGACTGCGCAGGCACCGACCACGAGAATGGATGCAAGGCATGCATTGTTCTTCCAGACTGCATGCATACATGTGCCAACAACATACTATATTTAAAGACGTCAGAGCTACAAAGGAGTATAGTGTTCCCTCATGCCCCCAACATACGGCAGAAGGACCTGCCAATCTGTAAGTTTCAAGCGTTCCTCTCCCAGAAGCAGCCTAGGATACAAAACGTGGTTTTATTTCGGCATCTCCGTGGCAGAGCCCCTCGAAGTCTTCATTAGTCCTTTCTCTTCGGTCATGCGGACCCAATGAAAAAATCTACATAAACTCATAATAAGCCCCCCTCAATTCCTCTCAAAGCCCAGGCCTGTCGAGCTAGCTGCAGCTCCGCGCCTCCCTTCGGAGGCTTCCCAAAGGCTTTCGCCGGAGGCCCGAAGTCGGGACCTGACGCCTGGCGCCAACGGGAAAGCCTTTCCGACCGCTATAGTATACTGCTTGTATTTTTACTAGTATTGTTGTTGTTTCTGATATTTCCTAAGTAGAACCGCCGGGACACAAATGTACTAGAATATATCCTGTCGGAATTGTCACCAAACTACCATGAATATCGTCGGCACAACCGTCATCGTGCTCTTGATCTCGCTGTTGCTGCTGCTGACGAGGGTGCTGGTGGTGTCGTTGCTGCTCGTGCTGCTGCTGCTGCTGCTGTGCCACCGCAGCTGCCGCTGTTGCCACCAGTGATCGCTAATGTGGGTCAAGTACATGTGCACCACATGGTCGGTAGGCGACTTGGACCAGGACCAACTGAGCAGAGAGTTGCGCTGGCTGTTCTGAATGTGTTCCGCGATTGACACACACTAGTTGTACCTGTTCTAGCAGTTTAGCAGTCTCATTGTCCCAGGACGCCCTCCAGCGATTCAGCTGCAGGCGAAGATCCCACCGAGATCCAGGAGATGGATGGAGCCTTCCAGTCCGAGGCAAGCAAAGCTCAGGAGAGAGCAACGACACTTCCACAGGTCGCGGAAGGCGAGATCTCGATGTTCCTGCCGCTAGTGCGCATACCAGTATCAAGTTCCAGCTATTTTCAGCTACGTCGCTTCATGGCCACAAGCGGGGAGAGATAGCTGTCGCTTGCACTTGAGCTCAGGAATGTACGGAACATGAACAACCAGAGCGGCAAGGTTTCCAAGTGGTATCTTTTTCTTTCCGGTTCTCGCCTTGAGGTAGCTATGTCATGCTATGTCAGGTCTCTGCGAGGGGGGTTGCTTGTAGCTGTCGTCAAACCGTCACACTGGGATTTGGCATCGTGTGCCCATCAACCGTAGACAACCTCGGTTTGCTTCGTCCATTTTCGTCCGCGAGAAAGTTAAGTTTCGAAGCCAAGAACCAGGCAAGCTCTACAACGAGGGCTACCGGCCGTGGTGCAAAGCTCCCGGTGGCACGTGGAAGCGACTACAGGATTCATCGCTGCTGGCCTTTTCCCATGCCAAGCAGGCTCCAGAGGGCCGGGAGGCATTTTGGGCAGGCGTCTACTTTCAAGCGAGCAGGATCCCCCCCCAACCCGTCAGGAGTTTGGGTTGTCGGGATCTTTGGCTCGACGAGGTAAATGCGATGCACGGGGTAGAGATAGGCACCAGCAATCTGACTGGAAGCAGGCAGACGGATTCTCCATCCGCTGGCACCACCACTCTCGCCGTGGTGCGGGCACCACGTACTATGCCTTCTGTGCGCCGTACAGCGACCTGTCGGCAGGAGTAGGTGTCTGGCATAGACTTGACACACGGACACACACGCACACATGCGCGCGCACCGGCACACATAATGTTGGACCCTGATTAACACACCCGCCCCTCTCCCGCTGTCAAGGTCGGGTCGCCAAACCTGGTTCATAGGATCAAGGTTAAACCCCCCGCCCCCGCAATTCAATACGCGGGCAGGGGGTTACGAATTATAGTATTTGTAGTAAGTAAATTTATCGGTAGTATAGTAGTATTACAGTAGTAATAGTACAGTAGTAGTACAGTAGTATTACAGTAGTATAGTAGTAATTAGTACAGTAGTAATCGCAAAAGTCTGCCAGGATGAGTCCTTAACCAATTAAGTTATCCCGAATGAACCCCTAAACCTTATTTCGGGGATTTTCGGGGAGGGCCCCGTCTAATCGGGGGGGTTGAGGTGGGTACCGGTACTATCATGGAGGGGTCTAATGGAAATGCTCATTTGGCTGATGAAATGCCCGGGATGGACCCGTCTAATCGGGTGGGGGGGGGGATCTTAATCACAAAACAACATTAGTCATGCATGTGATGATGAGTGAAATTGAAATCAATTGTTTTACGACGATGCACTGAAATCCGAGCGGCGATCGTGCAGACATATGCAAATCATAGGCGAACCTGAGCATATCTATCTATATGTGTTTATCTGTATATATATATATATATATATGCGTGTTTACGACTGTATACGCATTTCCGCACGCGCACGTATGTAGTTATGTCAATTCCGCTTCCTTCAATTCATTGGTCTGGGACTGGCGTGTTGAATGTAGCTTCTGTATTCGGCAGTGTGTGCACAGTTTAAAGTCTTCTCATGTGTTCATGATCTACCGCTAGACTTGCAGAACTCCCCCCAACCTCCATGCAAGTTGTTGCATGCAAGCTGCTGCCTACATTCATGCACGTGTGCTGCAGCTGCAAGTGTACGGCATTTGTGTTCTAAGTTCTAAGTAGACTATATGCAGCTAAGCGCGAAACTGTCCAAGCTTAGCTCGTAGTCAACAGAGCAGACAGAGGTATTGTCTTAGATCTTCCCTGGACTTTTGTCGGTTGCTTACTTCTTCTCCTGGCGTGTGCAAAGGCTATCTCGACTGCCAGGGGCTCTTGGAGGAGCTGGAGGAGAGCTTTTCGGAGACCTTCACGGATCCGCACCGGCCCCTTCGGAACATCTCGCGATCTCTTGCAGAGAATCTTGCCGTTTAATCGTGTTTGACAAAGGAGAAGTAGTACATACCATCATAGAACAAGCACGTCAAGCACTTCACTACACTAGGCATAGCACGAAGCACCTAGAAGTTTTGGGTAAGTCTCTTTTCGCAACGGATTTGTGAACTGATCCTCAGGGTGGAGCGACACTCGGTATGTGTTATTTCAATGCCTAGACGGTTCATTTAAGTCGCTTATTCGTGAGGTCTTGGCTACATTGGCATGGCAGCCTCGATTGGTGTCATGTCGTGTTTTTTTATGTGTTTCGCAGCCAGCCCCCAGCATGAAGCAAGAGAGTCATACGGTACTGCAGAGAGGCGAAGTCACGTGCGACCTTACAATACCGGCCCGGGGTCTTAAATCTAGACGTTAGACTCTGGTTTTGAGATGTTTTGAGGTGTTTTGTCGCTTATAGTATGTTTACATAAGTTACATATGAACTGTTTCGGATGAGAAGCATTGCCCTTCCACCGAGGACCTACCAGCCCCGGGCAGGCTCTGGAATCTATTTGCGGCGGCTGCTTGTCCGAGTACGAAACTAAATGACAAGGATATAGGCCTCGGCGTCATCAACATCAGTGTGATATTTTGTCAATGTGTGCCAGGCCGTGTATTTCAACTCGTTCTCTACTCTTGTAGCAAATGTGATTTTTTTCATCAGGACACCAAAGCATAATGCTTTGCAAGGCAGCTGCTGCACAGATCTCTGCAGGGTCGGCGAGTGGACCTCCTCACCGTAACGGCCTTGCCGGGGTGCCGTGGGCTTGGAACTCTCATGGGGATGGGTTGGGGTGGCTTTGAGGAATTAGAGTATGAGGTCGGATCAAGGTGATAGAGTTAAAGATATAAATCCTGCATTGCCCATAATAAGGAATATAACAGAATTCCCATAGTTTAGGACCCTTAAGGTAATGCAGGATTTTTATCATCAACGGTAGGTCTCATAGGTGTCTTCGCAGGCAGCTTCAGCGGCTTGATGTCCAGGTCTCTTTTAGGGGCAGGCATGTACAGCTGTAAGCTGTTTTGTGCTTTGATCCGTCGTCAAGCCGCTCTAACGAGAGGCATTCATCTTTGTCTGAAGCATGCAGGCCTGGGATGGACGAGGTCGACATGCCTCCCCCGGACCTTCCGTGCCCTCAGAGCGACTTGCCCTTGAAGTTCCCGGACCGACCAATCGTCTTCCTGTCTGCTCGCGTCCACCCTGGTGAGACCCCAGGGCAGTTTGTCTTCCTCGGGGCTCTGCGCTTTCTCCTTTCGGACGACCCGCGGGCTGCAAAGCTGCGGGACCGTTTTGTGTTCAAATTGGTCCCGATTCTGAATCCGGACGGAGTTGCATGTGGCCACTACAGAACGAACAGTCTGGGCCTCAATTTAAACCGTCACTATGACAAGCCCACTCCGAAGGAGCACGAGGGCATTTGGGCCACAAAGCGCATCCTGAGCCACTGGGCCAGGCAGAACCGCTTACTAGTCTACCTGGACTTGCATGGTCACGCCTCTAAGCGGGGATGCTTCCTGCTGGCCAACCGTCTCGTGGGCCCTGGGCAGGGATGGAATGCTGGCTTCGCCCGGCTCTGTCAGATCAACTCACCCTACTTCGATCTGGAACTCTGCGACTTCGGCGAGGCGGACGACGCAGAGAAGGAAGGGAAGGATGGCATGTCCAAGGAGGGCTCGGGACGAGTGGCGGTCTACCGAGATTGCAAGGTTTGCAACGCTTATACCCTGGAATGTAATTACAACACTGGCCGATTTACCAAGCCGATGTTGCCTCTCACGGGTGCTAGGTGGTTTCCTGGCATCCGATCGCAGACAATCTTTTGCTTTGAGACTTCTTCTGAGGTTTTGCTGGTTCCACTGCCGCAGCTTAAATCCGTCCAACTTAGAAGAATTGTACGTCCAGGCCGCGACTCATCTGACTCAACTGCCATGTGAGGTTAGAAGAGTCTCCCAGCTGCAGCGCGACCACCGAGGACCCGTCGGGGTCGCCCTTGTTTGCCAAGTCAAATAACTTTCAGACCATGAAGTCAGAGACTTGAGTGTTTAAGACCTTTCTGCAACAGAGGGAAGAACCGTTTGCATTATCCCTGCAGAGGAGCCGGTGCCTTTCACACAGAGCTCATGGGGTCAGGTTGGTGAGGCAGTTTGCATCAGCATCTTGGACTTGTACGGCCACAATTGCCACAGCCGGGTCCCGAGCACTCGACAGGCCAGTTTACGAACCTTGCTGGGTCAGACCATCCGACCGCGGACAGGCAGGACCACCAGGCTGAAGGACATCCTCCCCAACGGCGTGGGCTTAAGCCTCGAGGACGTTGCAGCGCGTGAGCGGCCGTGCCGTGGAGCTTGCGGCTGGCATGGGGTTCCGGGGCCACAGGATGCCAAGGACCCTAAGGAGAGGAGCCGTGTGCCCAAGGAGCCGAGGCCCGTGTCTAAAGGAGGCCGGAAGGAAAGCGAGCCAAGGCCATCCTCAAAGTCTTCCGTTCGGGCGCCGCCACAGACAGAGCTTCCAGATCGACTCGCACCCCGATCGGAGCGTAGGAAGGCCTCGAAGGATCGGCCGGACTTGGCTTCTGAGCCCAAGAATGCTTCGACAAAAACCGAAGGCCCGCTTCCAGACCGATTGGAGCGCAGGAAAGCCTCGAAGGATCGACCGGGTGCCATGGTGACGTCCGAGCCAAAGTGTTCCGCTCCGACGCCGAACATGGCGAGCCCCGAAACGCAGAGGTCTCGTTCCCTGGACCTACGGCGGCAGCTCGCTGTGCACAAGGTGGAGCGTCTGCCCTTAGCGCTTTTGCGTTCCGAAACTCCTGATGCCGATGCGAAGAGCAAAGAGGGGAGGCCTGGGAATCAAGTGAAGGAGGGCAGGGCAATACCACGGAATGCCATGCAACTTGTCCGACCTCAGCGCAAGCGAACGAATTCCTTGGATGCCAGTCGTATACCTAAGGCAGACTTTGGCGCCAAAGTGCGCCCGCAGCTGCTTCTTGAGATCTCCAGTCGAACAGGAGCAGCTGTGACTGTAGGAGCTTGCTGAAGGCAGGTCGACGTGCTGAATATGGCACGGCTCAGTCGGTGAATTTGTAGCTGCCCTTAAATATTTATCTCTTGCCTCGTATGAGCGGGGCTGGAGAGTCGATGAGACCAGCTGCGTGCGAAGAGAGAACAGACCTACATTACATTATGTCGCGCTTGCTGCCTTCGCACGAACAGGAACTCCAAGTCGCTGAAGCCGAACCCCCTTGCTCCCGTTGGTTTCATAGATTCATAGATCTTGGACTTCTAGAATCTGCTAGAACCTGTTTAAGATGCAACTTGGCCAGTCATGTCCGACTCGCGGGTTGATAGTAGGGCTTCGATAAGGGCTCTACAGCCTCGTGGACGAAGCTCGAAGGTTAATGGAATCAGAGTCAGAAAGAAGACGATCTGCCGCCACCGGCATCAAGGAAGAGGCATCGGATCCTGATCTATCTGCACATGAATTTCTGTATATGTGCAGATCATGAGCGTGTTTACTGGCGCTATGCCGCTATGCATAAAGCATGCATGCACGCACGATGCGCGATGGTATATGCGACTTTGAATATGATGCCTATGATTCGTTCATGTTCACTTAATTAGTTGCTGACACATTTACCTCCAGGTTATTCCTACATTCATGTCACATCTGTCTGTTTCTCTGTATCCTTGTCTGCCTGTCTGTCTCTATTTATGCTTGTACAGACGTACTTCATAGGTACAGTATGTAGGATACTGGCAGAGTCGCAGCAGGCCAGTTTCCCAAAGGTGCGCAGGTGTGTAGGCGTGTAGGTGTGTTGTACGTCAGTGCATGCATCTTCGTATGTATGGCGGGATGGAGGGAAGGATGGACTGAGGGATGGAAGGATGGAGTGCACGCATGGCCGGAGGGAGGCAGGGACGGATGGCTGTTTGGGCCCGTGTTCTGAGAAGTTTGGGCAGCCAATTCACAATAGCAAGACTCTTGACTTCAGGCACCTCCCCCTACTGTACCAGAAAGGCCTTTGGTTCCTTTGACTTTCCGCGATTTGCGAAGGCCGAAGCTGAACGATCTGCGAAAATTGATCCCAAACCTTTGTCGACCGAGCATTGGCACATGACATGTGGCATCAAAAGCAGCCAGATAGCGCACAGAAAGGGCTTACACCACTTTGCTGTGGCATTAGGACTGGTACTGTAGTATCGCTTCCCGACACCTGAAACTGTGCGACAGCCCGTTGCCAAGCCCAAATGGCCCGGGAACTCACAAAGTCCGAAGCCAGAACCTGTAGCCTGGGAGCGAACGTGCTATACCGCCATACCCTGCAAGCCCTTCAGGTGAGGTTATTGAGGGACAGCTGCAGTCGCACCGTCTTCAGCCGGCTTTATGAGGTCCTGTCAAGAGAACTGTTAGATTGTTAGGCTCTGAGGACGTGGAGTTCGAACTATGGAGTTGGGATTAGATGGACTTTCCTAACTAGATCCCGAGGACTGCCTTATGGTGCAAGTGACCCGGGTGAGTTTGTAAGGAAGCCCTCTCAGCACCATGGCCAAGCGTAAGCACTGACCGGGGATAATCGTAGTTATGCTGCGGATGACGGTGGCGACTTGATGAGTAGGCACTCGAGAGACGATGATGATTGCGCCGGCCGGTGGTGATGATGATGATGATGATGATGATCATGATCATGATGATGGTGATGACGATTGGGAGGATATCTGAATCTAGGCTGTTTACTCGACCGCATTGCATCTGTTACTATTTTCATGCTCTCCATCATCATCGTCGTCGTCATCATCATCATCATCATCATCACCACTTGTGACCAAAGTCACCACCATCGTCGCGTTCGTCATCGTCATGGTCAGCACCGGAATGCTTGGCATGGTTATCAACAGCTTCGGTGCGATGAAGGCATGAATTATTCTTCCGGTTCTTGTTGTCATCACCCTCTTCCTGCAGCGTTAGGGGAAATGCACCACCACCACCACCACCGCCACCACCACCACGAAGCATCGCAACAACGGCAAACTGCTATTGCCATCCTCTCCTCCATGATCGGCACCGACCCTTCCTTGCCCTTGCCAGGATGCCGTGCGGCGGTCAGATGTCGATCAATCAGATGGCGCGCCGCGCCCTTGGCCTCGATGTTTTGACCTGGCCATGTCGTGCAGTGGTGTGCGTAGAAGGCGGTAACTCCTGGACAGAGCCTGGCTCGATTTCACTGCCTTGTGTCCCACCGCGGTGCTGGCGTCCTCTTTTTCGTCGGTCGAGAGAGGGCAGCTCGTAGCAAGCCAATGGCCGGATGGACTTACTGTCGTATCTGTAAACGTCAGGCAATACAGTGTATGTTAGTGCCTTGCATACCTTTTGCAACGCATCTCGATGTGTGTCTCTCTCATGAACTCTCTCTCTCACACTCTTTTCCTCTTAGAGTCTTCTTGCCCGCCCTGTATATATATATATATACACATATGTTTGCAGAAAAATGCGATTGTAGGAGGATTGAGCCTGCTGACATTGACCCTGTAAACATTGTAATCTGTAGCATGGACCATGGAGAATCTCTGCTAGCCAAGCCTCTCTTGGTGCTGTAGCGAGCAAGGCCACCGCATGCAAGATCCTGGGCCGTGCGCTCGAACCTGCAGTGCTCCATGCTCTTCCCAGCGTGAGATGCGTGGGGGCGTCCGAAATGAGGGTTCTCCTGAATTTGCGCTTCCCGCATAAGGAACCTGATGCAGAACGCAGCAGGAAGATGGAAGTTCGGAGGTTGTGCGCAGAGTGGGCCAGTGGCATCTGCCCCGAGGCTGGTAGCATCCTGGAATTGAGATCACGGCCGCACTCTGCAAACAACGTGGCGGGCTCAAAGCACCAATGCACATGTAAGAGTCTGTAGCCAAGCATTAGTACGCCATTGCTACACAGCCAGAAGCTATGACCAGAGTGATTCCTGCCTTAGGTAGTTCACTTCCGAGATCTTGCAGCAAGTTCATGTAAGCTCTTGAGGCAGCTGCGACGCCCCGGCCCCTCTCCGCACAGTCAGTGTCGTCCCAAGCATTGCAGAGATTTGCAACGCGACGGATTTGGACTCAGATTCTTGCGCCTCAGGCTTCAACTCCCCGCCGGGCATTGTCCGAGCCGCCTGTTCGGATCGTGTCGCCGATAGCTCTGCAAGAAATGCAGCGACAAAATGCGATTCATTTACAGTAACACGGCTGCAGTTGATGTGGGTTTCCGAGGGAGCCTGTTGTATATTCTTGCCATCACAGGGTCCTTCTGCTCTAAAGCGGGGCACTCCAGCCAAACCCGCCAAAGAAATTCTCGAGCCCCCTGACAATGACCTCCACAGAAACCACTCCTTTTGTTAGCATAGTTGTTGCAACTTTTTCGTATGTCCAGTAGTCAAGAACCAGTAGATTACCTACCCATCCATGTATTGGTAGAAATGCAGCATGACTATGACACGTCAGATTCCTCCCATCACGCATCGTCAGAGGCACACGCTCCGAGAGCCGCCTCGCTGCAAGAAGGAAGACGGAAAGTTCCAAGGGCTCCTCCACAGTATCGGTGTCTATTGTAGGGTTTAGAGTTTAGGGTTGACGGTGTGAGTATCAGGTTTGGTGTCTTGCCCGAGCGCCATCTTCGTTGACGTACCTAGTGATAGTACGAGCTTTAGAAACAACCAGTACATCTGTTTCGGCGTTCTGGTGTGCAAGCATTGTAGCAATACTTTAGAAGCTACATCGATATGGCTAACTTCTCGTTCAGCAGAATCACCATCTGTGAAACCTAAATCTTTACGAGTGTTGGTGGCAAGAAATTTGAACTGTGAAGAAGCAGGTCTTTGTTCCAGCATCCGTTCCGGCTGCCGCTGTCGCCGTGCCTGCCCGCCAATCCAAGGAACCTTGCAGGCAGCAAGGGGCATGGTCTCCATAACTATCGGCTTGCCTGCCCCCTCTTTCTCCATCTCTCCGCCCTTGCCCCATGCACAATTGCTACTCTCGAAATACTACACACAAGGGCTGCCCTATGCTGTTCCTGTACTTCCTGGAGTCGTCACGCTGTGTACGGAAAGACAGCAGTAGCAGTGCAGTAAGTATAGGGATCTCTTAACGTTTTAATGTCTTTGCACATCCGAGTATAGTGTTATCTTGCTTGCAACTGCGCTTCCAGGGCCCCGGAGTAGTAGAGTAGGTAATCTTTAACCTTTCTGGGCTATTATGACCCCTATATAACCTCTATATACGCCCAAAGATTAACCTTTAGTTCCCCAGGATACTGGACAAGTAGGCCCCAAGTGTAGTCCACACCGAAATAAACTGGAGTTCCATATGTTAAGACGAGAAGCAGGGTCTTGGGAAGTAGCCATGCAGGAGGCAAAAAAATATGTTAAGACGCCGGCTAGAACTTGTTCGCACCGCAGCTTGTATTCATTCTCAGCCAGTGTTTGACGCGGATGGCCGGGCAGTCGTAGCGTTGCAGCAGTGCTGCAGCCAGGCAACTTCGGAGACCAGTCGGCCTCACCCCGATCTCGTTGTGCCGGAAGCTTACCGACGGGTTATGGCCGAGACGAAGCAAATTTGCGGCCTTGTCAAGTCTTTGGGATGGCAGTGCAGGTCACACCAACTGTGGCCAATGTCGACATGCAGGAGCTCTCAATGGCTGCAGAGTCTGCGGTGGGGCAAGGGAAGTTGCTTGACTCTATTGATCCCAGACCTTCACCTCAGGCTTCGGCATCTGTGGGCTGTCTAGGCTTGGTATTTGTGTCGCTGCTCGTGTCCGGGAAGCTGTCTTGTAACTTATACTGTCGTATCCATGATGCGGATGCCGCCATATTGCCACTCGCCGCCACGGAAGGTAGTGCACTTTCCCCGGGGAGGGTCCGAGGGCCGGATGTCGACATGCTGCATGGAGCCAAATTCACCACAATTTGCGGGGACCCATTGCGCAACTGTAATAACCTCCGTTCAGCGTCCGAGTGTAAGCGTCAACATAACGTGAACTTCTAATGACATACCATCGACAGAGCATCCATGCCCAGCCCCGAATAATGTCCATTCCGAATTGCATGCGATCACCAGCGCATCCGTGGCCCCCTAATAACGTCGATTCTTCATGACGTGCAATCACAAGAGCATCCGTGCCCAGACCCCCATAACCTCCGGTTCTAGTTGCATGCGATCAGCATCGATCAGCAGAGCATCCATGCCCAAATCATAATCACGTCGTACCGTCACCAGAGCATGTATTACAACTTGGTCTTGCGTTGCTATAGCTGCCACTTTCACCCCCCACATGCATATTCTGCGTCTACCCAAACCACGATGTAAAGTTTCCTGAAGCCGAAACCACAGTCACAGTCACATGCATTTCTAAACTCGCTTGACCTTCCGCGGCGGCGAATGGCGTACGTACCTGACAACAGGGCTTATGCAGTGTGTGGGCTTTTTGACACTGCCAGCACTCGCCTGAGACCGGGCGTATGACGGTCGTCACCTGTACAGATCATTCTTAGTCGTCGAATTCACGCCCACCCGGTGCAACTTGGCTGCTGGGAGCCCATAGCTCGCGGTGTCTGTCCCTTCAATCTGTCTGTTCGTCTCTCTCTTCCTCTCTCTTGCTCGGTGTTGTGTGGCGCCAGGATGGCATGAATGCAGCAAGCCATGCAGAGAAGTTTCACAAGTGTACACATATTCAAGCAACAGTTGTGGCCAATTCAGAACCTTTCCCGCGATTCTGATCCCTGCCCATTCACATCTAGACAGCGGATCAATGATGAAACGAGCCGAACCATGCATTACAGCGCTTCGTGATCATTGCTAATAGTGATGATGAGAGTTGACCTCCTCAAAGACTTGGGACTTCCGGACAGGGGACATCCTTAAGATAATGTGGGAGCCTAAATAATTGCCAATACTATTTTGGGGGGTTCCTTATTATGATTACAGCGTAATGGGCCTCACAACCCTATTCTAACCATTATAAGACCCCCTATATTATCCAGCTGCGTTATTTCCGCAGATCTTCAAATCCGCTAGTGGCACCTCTAGTGCCTGTTACGGATTGGGAATGTCTGGGATGCCGGCACCATAACAGCACCCCAACTGAAATAAGCCTGCAAGTCTCCGGTATTTTCCCAACGCGGAGGCTTCAATACTTGAATGATGGCCAAAAGTATGTCTTTTTACACACCGTTACACCGTTAGACATTATAGAACAATCGTAACGCATACCCCGAAGCTCTATTCTAATCATTCCGGCAGCTATGTTATGCCTTCCGATGCTCCCGGGGTTGGGTGCGCTGAGTAGCCCGCCTCGCCGACGGCGGAGCTCTCCTCTTCCTTCGCCTTCTGTGTCGATCAAAACTCCGAGGCTCGTCTTGTTCGCATTTAGGGGCGGTACGTGTATGTCCGTGTATATATACACATACATACATACATACATACATACATACATACATACATACACACATACATACATACATACATACATACATACATACATACATACATACATACACACGCACGTACATGTATCGTTTTCATAGGCGCAGTCCCTGTATATACAGTGTATATGCTGGAATTGCCGTCTCTAAACACACAATGCGCGATGAGCATCCTGGCAGTGCGAGGGAGTCTAGACATCTCTGTGAGCTCGTAGTTTCTGCTGGGCTGCGAGGTCTCCAATCTCTGAAGATGCAACGGGACAGCGGAAGGCCGAAATTTTGTACCTTTTTTGGAAAAGGTCAGGGGTCCAGGGCCTGGGTAAGACGGAGAGGAGCTCCGAGAAACCCGCGGAGGGTTCCAAGCATCCGGGGCTGTCGGGGGAACCCGACTGAAGGGCCTTAAGGGGTTTGGAGCTCGGGCTTGGGATGTGTGAGATTTTCAGCGCTGGGTTGATTCGGAGCGGGGAACTGCTGCCGAGATTTTTTGCCTCCTTGCCTCCTAACATATGATTATTATGCTGAAACCACGCTTGCGAGTGAATCACCAGCCTTTTCGTGAGAAGAGAAGACAGGCGAACGCCACCCCGGACAACTTCGGAACGGAGACGCCGCCGCGCACGGACAAGCTCAAGCCACTTTCCAGGCCTCTAGATCCGAAACTGCTGAGACCCAAAGACCTGCTCCAACTTGAGTTCAGTGTGCTGCAGACCTTGCCTGAGGTTCAAGGGCTTCTTACAAGTAGGCCGCAAAGCACCCCTCAAAACTCGAGTCCCGGGGTCCGGGGTTGTGTGATGTGCCGACCCGATTCTTGGCGGCAACTTGGGGACTGCAATCCAGAAGCAATGAAGGATGTTCGAAAAGTCCCGACAGGCCGCCGACTCCAGACAAGACTCCCAGACGGCGTCTTATTGACGGAGGTTCCTGGGGCTCCGAGCCAGCCAGTTGCCGTGGTCGAGGTTGGGTAGTTTTGGATTTGCTTTCTGCGGGCCTCGGCTCCACGCTGCTCGAGACACTCCCGGCACAACTCTCTTTCACATCGGCTTTAGCCAAGTAGCTACACTCCCCGTCAGAAGCACAACGCCAGGGACAGGTGCTGTAATTGTTGTGTTCTTGGAAGTCCGAGCGCGATCCAGCACAAGCTTGGTTGCCAGACGCAACAGCGTGAACAAAATTGTGATGGGTGCCTCCTCAGAATCGAACTGAGACCGCCTGGTGTAAGGTCCGGAGAAGCCGCAGCAACTGCAGCCGCTCCACGAAAGATCGCAAGCGGAAGCTGAAGAGCCCAAAGAGGAGGCAGAGCCGGCCGGCAAAGTACCGCCAGGACCCTATCCGACCTTTCATGTTTTGGCTTAGACATACATTGCATGTCGTTCCATGCAGCGATGCTCTGGCTGTGCCAAGGCCGAAGCCCTGGAGCCCCAGGATACCTGCAAAGTCCAGGCCAGGCCTTTCTCTTCCGCTGTTCAGGAGTTGAGTTGAGGTGTTTCAGGGTCTCGGGCTCATGGTTCAGACCCGGCAGAACCAGCGCGATGTGAGAGCGGCTTGAAGGCTTCCTAACGCCCGATCCAGCAAGCCCAAAGTAGCTCCTATCACCGCAGAGCATGCCATGTTCATGTCAAAGAATCAGAGTAACTCCAGCGTGCACACCAAAACTCCCAGTCGAAGGCAGGGGCCTCCGAATGACAGCCCGACTGGAAGGTTGTCACCGCTTACGGCTCAGTGTTTCATGTGCCCGCTTCGAAGTCCAAAGCTTTGCCACAGCGATGTGGCAGTTCATGCTCGAACTTTCAATTTTGCTCGGCTGTGCATCTTGTTTCTGTCCTGGCTGAGTCGATGCAAGCAAGATGCAAAAAAACTGCACGCACTGCAAATGCAAATGCACATGTTAGAACACAGACACATGCTCACAAAGACCTACATGCTTGTATGCAGAGATAAATGCCTGCATGCATGCATGCATGCAGAGAGAGAGAGAGAGACCGTCCGACAGACAGACATAGTATGTGCCAAGGTAGTTGTTGTTTTAGTTGTTGTTTTCCCGTCTTGGGAGAGCTCGTGTCACATAGACCCATCGGGCAACCATGCGGACAACACCTATTCCCTTGCCGCAAAGAGTCGTGCACAAGCCAAGGTGGCAGAGAAATGTAAGTTTTCACTGGACATTCTCTTTCGTGCAGCATCTATTGTTATTGACATCCGTAGCCATAACTGGTTGCTATCATTTACTACTTGTTTCTGTGAAGCGCTTCATTAATCGGACTGGCGGTTGTAATTGCAATTCCCTCACCATGACTGTGACTGCGATAGCTGACTTCATAGATTCTAGGCTTTTAGAACCACAGACAGCTATAATCGTGGACTCTTTGAGGCCGTCGACGGATCGGGCGACGCCGGAGACCTTTCCCCGGCCGCTGCCCCGCATGGCAGCCACCTTGCTGCCGAGCGTGCGGCCCAAGTCGGCGACTCTAGCCCTCGCCAAGAGTACATTTTTAGGGTTTAGGGTTTAATTATCATAGTGCCTCTTTTTGGGTATACTATGGTCTAGTGTATCCTGGCATATTTTCGAGAACTAGAGTAGACTTTAGTGTATTCAGGTATACTATAGTGTAGTATATCACCGTTGCTAATACTGGAGTATATTATAGTGTACTTTTGCAAGTTTTTGCGTAGTAGGCGTAGTAGTAGTAGTAGTAGTAGTAGTAGTAGTAGTAGATTATATGAGAATCTTTTATGGTTCTATTGGTACCCGCCTATCTTCCTGGCTTATCCTGCGATGACGATCATGGCCATGACTATGACCTTGGCCATGACAATAGGAGACGGTGACAAAAGAGTTCTGATGATGACGATCACAATGGTGATTGCCCTGGCGGTCTTATGACGTCTCGGGCTCTCTTCTCGTGCCAGGAAGCCTGTCCAAAAGGCGGTGGCGTTCAACTGCTCGACCCCACGGCCCATGACCTGCGGTGTGTGAGGCACATTGAGAAGTCTTGTGCTGGGAGCACAGTTGGGCAAGTAGAGATTCACTTTGGATGAGGCATGTTCCAGCAGCATCAGGCCGGTGCTTGTATCCCGCATGGCTCAAGCCCATCTCCCAGTCTCATCATGGGGCGGCAGTGGATTCAGCAGCAGGGTCACGATCTTGCTGGGATGGAGGCTTCAAGTGCGTTGGCTGTAGGGACTTGCATTTTTCTGAGGCTTGCGAAGGGGGTTGCTGCCATGGCTGAGCCATGGAGGGGCCTCCTCCAGCAGCTCTCTATGGAACTGGAGCGCCAGTCCGCTAAATTGCAGGATCTGGAGCTCCAAAACAAACGACTACTCGCGCCTTGGTTAGTTAAGTCTGGCAGGCTGACAGAGTGTAGCAGCACAACCAGACTCGGGATGCGAGCCTGATAAGGAAGCGACAGCTCTTCCGGTCGAGATGTCTGAGATTCCGCCTATCGTGCAGTGCGACCTCCCGTCCCCTCCGGGCCCTGAGGGACCAGGGGATGTCCGAAGATCTAGAAGGAGCCAGGAGGATGAGGACGAAGATGAAGTCACTGGCCTGAAGACCGCAGCTTGGCCATAAACAGGCAGGGAGTTGGCAGCATCGAGTAATGTCAGGGTCCGCAGCTAAGGACATAATCCTTCCACATCCGCACCGGCCGAGCAAAATTTCCGAGATCTCCCAGATTGCCTTGGCCCAGCCTCGGAGGAACTCCCGGGTGTCAAAGCTCATCGAATCCCAGCAGGTCCGCTTCATGATCATGCGTGCGCAGAGGACCCGAGAGTTTGGCGTGCCTGGCCATGGGTTCCAGAGTTTGTCCAAGTTTTAGCTTTCGATCGCCCGCTTCGGGCCACTCTTCGGCAGCTCTGCAAGTTTTGAGATCGAGAGCTCCTGGTGATGAGGTGAAGAAGCGGTGGTTCGTCATCAACCCCGACACCAACCCGTTTTCGACGGCCTGGCAGATCATTACCAATTTCGCCCTCGCCTTCGTGGCCTTGATCACTCCCCTGCAGGTCAACTTTGCCACATTATAACCCATCACAGAAAAACTATAATATACTTTGCTATGCTGTAAGATATTATCTGAGCGGGAGTTTGCTTCATAACATCGTTTGCCATGGTGGATGCAGTCAGATATGCCGAGATCTGCGTGATTGAGCTGCCACATGTGCCACTATGATTGCTGCCATTGCCAAGTTGCCAAGTCAGACTAAGACTGCCACCGTGTGCCTTCAATTTCTTCTTTCTTGGCCTCGGACAGCAAGTCGTACGCCCTTCCAAAGCCCTTGAACCTGCTTAGGTCGGCTTGCTGGAGATCCACTTGGACTTTCTCTTCGTGCTGACCATGATGGTCGACTTGGTGTTTGTCATCGACATGATTCTGCAGTTCGTCACGATGTACCCTCGGACGACAGCACGTGGGTTGGAGTGGGAGCTCAATCCACAGAAGATTGCCATGAACTACTTGAGGACAGCGTCTGTCTGCAGGGTGGGGGATGAGCACGCCTCCTGAGCACCCTGGATTACTGCACAGCATCAGAGCAAGCTGTAGAATAGATGGAAATACCCACTAGAACTGAACGAACCATGAATCTCGTAAACTTGACGGTTGAGCAGGGGAGTGCAGCTGTGGAAACTCGCATGGCTAGTCCGACTGCACGTGCTGAAAAGCCCTTAATCGAGTATTGCGGACCTTGCGCTCAGAAAACTTTAGTAGCCCGGGTTCGATTCATTTGTGGTTTGCCAGAGGGCATGGCTTTTAGCAACTGGTCAACTTAGCCCTCGGACGACTGATATGGCGTGAGACTTCGACGTAGCTCAACAACAGGAAGAGGTGCAAACTGGCACTACTGCTGCAATGTCCCTGTCGGTTTAGATTTGAGATTTGAAACTGTGATTGCTATGGTCAGCCAGCTGCTATTCTCTATTGCGCACCCGCTCCCCGTCCCTCGCCGTCGACAGTCAACGTGCAGAGTGCGCGCGGGAATTGCCGGCCTCGTTAGTCCATATCAGTATGGTGACATGTTATACCACTAGATCCAAGGCCGGAGATTTCTCTCTTCGCCCTCCATCGGGAACAACGATCCCCGTTGCCCCAACTCCCAAAGGAACCATCGCCCGCCCTGCAATGCGGGTCTTTAGTGGGAGGCAGAAAAAGGAGACATCACTCACATCCCGGGTATGAGTGCTGCCGCCGAAACCCGTCTAGACCCCAGCCCCAAGCCACAGCCTTAGTATTGCACTCCGGGAAGCTGTGATGAGGACCTGGTTCTTCCTCGACTTCGTGACTTTGATCCCCTTCGACATGATCGGAGTATCCTCCGGCACAGATAGCCTGAAGGACACGACTGATGTAAAGCTTGCGTGATCGTGTCTTGGCCACGTCGGCGTGTCGTCCTCGCCGACGTGGTCGCACTCGCCGCTGTTGAGGTCGCGCCCACCGCCGTCGTCGATGTCGTCGTTACCATGCATCGCTGTCATCGTGTAGTCGGCTTCGTTGCTCTTGGTCAGGTCGGTGTTTTTCGCCATGCCCCGTCGCATTCTAACTTTGGTTCCTGGCAGAATAATAGTTGGATGAAGCTGGTAGGGCTTCACAGAGTTTAGGAAGGTTGTGGTTGCCGCGCCCTGATGTCGAATCTTTTATATTTTTTTCTTCCGTGACAACATATGGCGAGAACAAGCCTGGTGCCTGCCAGAAAGGGCAACGAGAGGTAGAATCCAGATCTTCAGCCCTGACGCCCACCCTCCGAACCACTCCGAGCTAAAATCCGCAAGCGTTAAATTCCTAAAGTAATGTACCTCAACACCAAACTTCTAGGACCTGCGGAGCATTAAAGTAATCCGCGTCCTCCGGCTCCTGAAGCTCATGCGGCTGCTGCGGAGCTCTCGACTGAGCCTGGGTGTTTGAGAGTTTGTGGTTGTCGGGTTTGGATTCTTGGGTTTAGCATGGTAGGGTTTCGCTTGGCTTTTCCTGCATCGGCATTGCACGCACGGGGGGGTTCCAACTTCAGTTGGAGCCTGCAGGTTAAAAGATGGGCTTCCCTCGGAGGGGTAGGCGTGCTTCCGTCTCAGCGGTCGGCATCCCACTCTCATCATACTGTACCTGTCTTTTTGTTCGCGCCAAATGCCCAGCTAAGCAAACCGTTCCTGGCCTATTCTATTGGCTTCTTGCTCAAGGTCTCACGCGACCAGGCAGGACGTAGTTTTTGCTCAGTGCTGTTTATGGTCCATGGGTCTAATGCTTGATGTTGTTGATCCTGCGGGCATATCACAAGAAGGCCAGTGGTAGTCTAAGGAACGGCCATCCGGGTTTTAAGCTAGGGAAACGGCACTCAGCCATAGCGATGCTGGATGACAACAGCAGGCTGCAATTTGTCCGTGATCAACGACTGTCTGCCTTGGATAGGGCACGAACGCTTTCAGAGCAGCTGGCCACAAAGGTGAGACTCCTGCAAGAAGCGACAGCGAAGCACGAGAGGGAGGCTGCAGGACGCCTCGATACTCTAGCAGCTGGAAGGGCTTCAGCACAGGCACGCAGCCGTGCCTTGGCGACAGGCCTGGCTGAGACGAAAGAAGAGGTCGCTAGTTTGCAGTGGCGCGTGGGTGCGCTGCAGAGCCTTCTGGACGTGCAGCCGCGTAGTTCGGCCTTGCCGCGTGGAGCAGCTGGAGGGCACGGAGGGCATGGGCTCCAGGATGCGTCTGTTGAATCCCTTCGTTCTACGTTGGCAGCACTCCGACAACGGCGCTCAGAGCATGAGGAGCTTCACCGTAACTGCCAAGACGAGTGCCAGGGCCTCCAGCGTCGCCTTCAGGCTGCGCAAGATCCGCACAAAACAGCACATCTCAACAATGAGAGCATCTCGTTGACAAAGGAAGCGCTCCGAGCCTTTGCACATGGAGCCGTGGCCACCTGGGTTCGGGAACTGGAGGACTTGGAGAAGCAATGCTCGAGGCGCACTGCCGCAATCGAAGCAAGTCTCCGGAAGGTTCAGCACATGGCCTCAGGCGGTATAAGAGCAACACCTTGCTGGCGGTCTTCGCAGGGCCGTGAACGTTTGCCCATGGCCGAGACGCTGCTGACCACTTTTGAAGCGGCAGCTAAGGATTGCAGGACCCAGGCATCACATGAGCTTGCGACGCTTCACCGGGCCATTGTCTTGTGGAAAGCAGCGACAGGTGCAGTGGTTCTTTCACCTCGAGAGGAAGCGCACGAAGCATGCGCCATCCGAGAAAAGTACAAACACGGAATCCCGTTTGTTGCCTGGCGTGGGCTGAAAGCCTCCATCGAATCTTGCAGCTGAGGACGCACCGGCTCGAGATCCCGCTGTCGATCCCGTACCAACAGGCGGGACGGTTGTCCTATCAATATTACAGTGCCAAGACGAGCTACATGTGCCCTCTCCCCTGTCTGATGCAGGTAGCACTCTTCCGTTTCCTCCTCATCTTAGTCCTGGCCTGCCACTGGCTGGCCTGCGTTTGGGCGATGACTCTGAAGATCGTCGATGCCGGGGCCTCAAGACATAACAAACACCTTGTTCAGTGTAGTTACAGCTTGGAGTCGACAACGTTTTCGGACTCATAAAGCTTCAGCCTGGACGGCTTGTTACATGCAGAGGGGGAGGATAGTAGCATGGGCATAGGGCACCCATGGTACTGAAGCTTGAGGGAAAAGTGCCATGAAGAATGAGTGAAGGACACCTTCCCGCAATGGATCAACGATATCGAGGCAGCCGACGTGCCTTATGGGATTCGTACCCGGGACTCTCCTATGCGCATCTACATTGCTGCATACTACTTCTGCTGCTACACCATGACATCAGTGGGCTATGGAGACAACGGCCCCAAGAATGTGCTGGAGCGCTTGGTTTGCACATGGATTGTGCTGACCTCGGGACTCTCCTGGGCATACATTCTCGGAGAAGTCTGCGCCATCGTCAGCGAGATGACGGCAGAGGGTCAGAGGTTCAGAAAGAAGATGCACCACCTGAATTCCTTGATGCAGGAGCAGGGGCTTCCACCCGAGCTCCGAAAGCGCATGCGCAGTTTCTTTCTTCAGAACCGGCATCAAGCAGAGCACCAAACCCGGCAGAAACTCTTGGAGAATCTGAGCCCGCAGCTGCATGCTGAGGTCTGCACGGCGCTGAATATGCCATGGATTGAGAAGGTCTCCTTTTTCCAGCAGTTCATGTCTCTGATAGATGCTCTAGAAGCAGATGGAGCCCACACCGCACCGTTCCGCGCATGCATTGCAGACATCTCTCGAGAACTTCAGACCGCGGCCTTTGCACAGAAGGAGATCTTTGATAATGTGCAGGTGCTCTACATCCTCTCCAAGGGCCTGGTGGCTTTGAACAGTCGGGTGGGTCACAATGGGGCGGTCTGGGGGGAGGACTTCGTCCTCTCGGACACGAGCCTGATCCGGCCTGTGGCTGGCTTTGCGCTCACGTCACTTCGTCGGCTTTGGCATCGTCTTCTCTTCTTTTGGAGCTGCAGCAGCCTGCGATCCAACCACCCCCCCAAAACCTAGAAGGCCGTGTGTGCCAGGCTCGTGAAACAACAGTCATCACGAAATTGAGACAGTATATACTCCTCCCCCAAACAAGCCAGAGACCGAATCCCAGAACTCAGAACATCTCACAGGTAATCTCAGAACTCAGGGAAAAAGCGTGAACCCGCATTGCGGGCTTCGTCCTAGCTAGGTGGGAGGCAAAAAAGCCCTAAACCTTAAACCAGGTACATCGAGGTGCTCTTCCTTACCCGCGAGAGCTTCATGGGAGTGATCGAGCGCCGGAAGTTGACTTGCCCTCAGCTGGGCCAGGTCCCGGGCCGGGCCACCAAAAGGTATCATGTATATACTTGACGGTAGCCTATTGTAGTACGTTATACATATACATATATATATATATATATGTATGTATGTATGGTGATGGTGATGGTGATGGCGATGGCGATGGCGATGGCGATGGCGATGGCGATGGCGATGGCGATGTAATGTATTGTAATGTAATGTAATGTAATGTAATGTAATGTAATGTAATGGAATGAATGAATGTATGTATGTACGTATGTA